AAGCACTAGTATATTAGCTATCTATAGCTTTATTAAAGTTACCTAAAAAGATATATTAGCGCTAAGATTAAAACGCTAGCAAGAACTTCTAACTGAGCTCCTCTGGTCTGGCGATAACTTTTGGGAGCGACTTCCGTAAAAGCATTAACACTAAGCCCTGGTAGCGGAAGATGCTAGAAGTACTATTCTAAGCACTAAAAGGGTAGTTACGCAACCTCTCCGCGCTTACCATTTCGTTTGTGTCCTATAGGAATACGTGGGAAAGTTCATCTCGAGTGTTTCTAATGTTGATCACTGTATGCCGAAAACCCCTATATAAGCAGAACAATCGGCTAAATTTCAGGAACGATAGATGCTCGTATAGATATTGTGATCTCATTGGTTATGCTTAATATATAGGGGTTTTCGGCATAAGCGATCAACATCCCAAGTACCAAGAACTAGCAGGTTTGGCGAAAAATGCCGCAATGAAAACAGCAATTAGCCCGAGGATGGATGAACATCTGAGAATCAGGGTCTAAATAATCGCCTTGTCCTTGCGATTATGAAAAGACATAGTCAACTCTCCTCAGTAGCCTATACCTGCCCTACACCCATCACATTTTCTAAATCCATCTTCCTACTATATCAGTCGACGAAGCACTACAAGATGAAGTTCCTCGCATTATTCATCCTACCTATTTCACTAGCATCTGCCGACACTTGGGTTAGTATTTCCTCTATAAGAACTCTTACTAAAGTGCAATACTGATCAAACTTAGAACTGTAATATAAATTCTAATCAGTGTGAGATCGCGGGGGGTAATGGCCTTAGATGTGATCCAGGCGTGAGTAGTCCTAGCCTATCTTTCTAGTCTTGTTATTACATTTCTAACTACTGTTGTGTCTAGTTTGAATGCAAAGTCAATGGCAACGGATGTATACCGTTATCAGATGACGGTTTACGGTACACACACGCTCATTGCTCATAAGAGTAAGGAGTTTAGTGTTACAAGTAACACGAAGGATTTCTCTCCTTGACAAGGGACGACGAGGTTGGAGGCCAACCACATCCATTTCAGAAGGCAACGGCCATCGCGGGGCTCGAGGTCACGTGATGTACCACCCCGCGAAGATAGGATGGGATGGATGGCAAGACAGATTGCAATAAGTATAAGAATGTGTTGGGTTTCATTATTGCACTTGCTTTGGTTAACTTAGAAGAGTACTCTACTACAAGTTCTTCTCTAATGCAGATTGATAATAAATTATTCTGTTCTATAGAATCAATTTTTACTTTTCGGCTAAACTCCTTTACTCCACGGTATCACTGGGAAACAATCCCGCAGGATACTGCCCGTAAATGTAAGGACACAGGGCCTCAACAGTGTCGCGGTATTAGCGCGCTAGTGGGTTACCTAGTAATGGATTACCTAATACCCTACTAAAGTAGTTATGTACCTATAGAGTAATAAGGACGTTAAAGAAAATTCTATAGAAATAACACTACTTAACTTTGTAAAAAAAATATAGCTTGGAGCCTTAGACTAGCATAAGTTAATCTAATCTTTTATCTATGTACTTATTACTTGCTACCATCGGAATTCTTATAATAACCGTCTCGCCCTAAACTAGACCAATACTACGTAAGTATAATACAAGGAGTAGGCCCCAAGAAGCCATGCGTATGACTATCTAAGCCATCCCTACACTAAAAAGGTACCACGAGACTACTTATTGTCTTAGTAGTCAGATGTACTCGATCATAACATATTGTAATATCATAGCTTAGCAAATCGAAGCGCACTAGGGCGTAGCTCATCACATATAGACTAGTAAATGGGTAGTATAGGGCACCTGGCGTGGTTACTAAATTTGGCTAGAGGTAGTGCTAGATTACTTAGTCATCTGACCCAGCCCTATTCCTACCCATTTGCCAGCCTGATTTTGGTGTGAAATCGCTTAAATTGCGAAACTTTTATTGCATAGCTGTACTAGTACAACCCCGTGTAATATAGAGCTGAGCCGGGTAGCCTTATAACCTATCAGAACGTCGGTTAGATCAATAAGCGAGCATATTTCTCCAATCTGTACGTAGATATAAGCCCTCTGCTGTATGGTTACTAGCTCTCTACCCTATACAACCCTATTTCACATGCCATTACCCTTGGCACAGCGCTCCTTGACTGACTCCTTCCATGCTGTGGCTTGGCTGAGGTCGTTACTCCTGCGACTTTGCAAAGACTGTGCCACTACGTCCCGATACATTCGCACTCTGATTGTGCACACTTATGTGGAGACATACATTGAGTATACAGCCCATAACCGCATTACTGACACCACCCAGTATGGCAATCCTAAAGCAATTAGAATCTACAAAAATTAGAACAAGTCTAATAGTCTTACCCTACCTGATTCGCAGGAATGGCCTCTTGGGAATAAACCCGCCTCGTGGGAGATATCTATTTGACGTCGATTAATGCCCGCCTGAACGTAGGGCATTGAGAGAAAGATTATAAATAGGTGTTGGAAAGCGTGGGTAGGCTTCATGTTCGTAGTTGGGCGAGAGTAGATAGGCCTAGGGAGTTGACTGGAGTCTTGCTTGAATAAGTTTAACTGGAGAGGGCTGCGCTCTAAATAGGAATCGCTGGAGGATAGGTGTTGGGAATGATATTTGATCATGATTTGGTCATCATAGGGGCTTTTTTAGTACTAAGTTATTACATGAAGTTTATTCTCAATGTGACTAAGGGTGAGCATGATAATTGTGTTTAATGCTGACTCATCTAATATCCACTACGGAGGGACAGACCTTCGCGGAGAAGCAACACTAACTAGAAAGAAAACTCTAGGTAGTTATTGGCCGAATGACAGCCGATGCGAGCAGAATGCTGAGGCATTACTTCTTAGTAAAGCGTGTTAACAGTCAGGTCTTGAGTGGAGGTAATGCAATTCTAGGGTCAAGAACTCTAGGGTTAAGTTTCGCGGATAGAGCTGTCAGATTGTGATGAGTTGTCAAAGATCGGGATTGAACTGTTCTATATTGATCGTTTCTTGTGGCTGTGCTCTACCTAAGCTCGTCCGCGCTGATTCCCTGAGTATAATTATAGTAGATCGTGCGCGCTAACTAATTACAGAATCTAGGTGCTCGCGGAAGACCAGGGCTCAACTCCTTACTACAGAGCTACCTTCCTTTTTGTTTTCGTTTTTTAGTTGCACATCGAAGGTTTCGTTGCCGCGGGTTAAATGCCTGGCGCTCTACCGATAAGGTGGAATGAGAAGTCGGCCTTACCATCAGCAGTAAAACGTCTCAAAACTTCATAGAAGTGCCGTACATCTGCTAGCTCTGTCACACATCTTTTACAATAACTTTGCGACGGGTAGATGATAGCCAGGTCTCTATTATACTCAAATTGTGGGAGCTGGGATAACTTAAACAAATGAGATTGGGTTGAGATAGCTGGTCTGAAGTCCTATAACCAACAAGATCAGTCATGTATCAAACTATATAAGTAATCGAGACTGATGTAGTCCCAATCAGGATAGATCACGTGATTTTGACTGATCTAGCTTAATCTAATCTGATCTCAGCTGCTTAGAGCTGACATAAGCTGACCAGAGTACGGACTTGATCAGTACCAGTCAGCTCCTGATTGATTAGGATCGAACATGATCAGTTCGATCAGCTTACTTAGACTTGGACTAGTCTCGATCAGTGATCATACCCGTTGGGTTACGACACAAATCTAGTGACTTTGGTGGGCTTAGAATGTACTTCAAGTCGTGCGTCTTAATAGATCAAAGGGCTGGCAGTACGACGTTTATGTACATTTTGTATTAACTTTGCTTTTTATGTTAGATAGTATGTCAAATCTAAAGTTATGCTCAATAACAGCATAGACATAAATTTTCTTTAGCGAGTAAGATTAGGCTTGTGATGTTTTAATACTAAATATTACTTAGGGACTGTCTATTTCTATCCCCAGGACGACGTTCGACATCATTTGGGTATCTTGGGCTCGTCTGCCAATGAATTTCATCACACTAAAGAATGTTGTGCCAGGGGTAAGAATCTGGGCGTTGCTACAATGGTTTATGGCAGTATTGCAGACACGTATTGACCTATTGGGGAAATTTGAGCTCCTTTGCGATAGCCTTTTGTTTCTTGATTCCTTCTTCTCAAGTAACGTATCTTTGGATTACTGCGCTTCTTAACTGTTCATTATGGACACATTTTTTATGGTGATAGACTTTGCAAACTCTTGCTTTCTCAGCAATATGCTGCCATAGAAGACTTTTCTCTTCAAGTGCAGCTCCGTCTAGATACTTTGCGATCGCGTTAGTGTCGCTGCTTGTAAGCTCGCGCAGTCATAGACGACTGTCGACTTCATCTCCGTTCTGGAGGCGTCAACATCCTCCCGATGCGAAGGCATTAGAAACTGTAGAGCGCGAAATGTCAAACACAGTCGATATAGACTGTAGGCTGCATGATACTTGCTATTTTAAGTGGTATTACAGGACTGCGAAGATAGCTGACCGTTTTGGTATTTCGAGCTGGGAGCGGATCCCGGCACACGCTTGCTATTCGGGTGACGTGTAACTCCGCCGGCGGGGTCCTAAGTCTCACCCGCTTAGGCATAGTTAAAATGAGGTCAGCGCATTCGATTTTACTAATCTCGTTTTCAATAGAAAATACCGTCCTAGTGTTGCTAATATTTCGTGGTAGAGTGGTGTAGTTTTGGTAGGGTGAACTACTTGGTGTTTTCTATCTAGTTGCATCGTTAGACCAAGAGTACAGCATAGCTTTATAGAACTGTTGATATGCCAAGCTTTGATTAACTAAATAAACTCCTATCTGGAATAACACTTCACAATTGTATTGAAAATTATGGTAGAAAAAAACAAAAGAATGTAATGAGGCCGCTAGCAGCCATTCTACCTTCGCGAGCAACAGTTTCTGATCTGGAGTCTTGATCTTAGTTATAACCCTCAGACTGAAGGAAGTCAAAATAGTGTGAACATTTATTCATGCGCATTCTCCATCTAAGCAGCAGAATGGGAGCATACCTCCGTGTCGTATAGCGTATCAATTGGATGTAACTACTAGAGCTTCGCCTTCGCATCCCATCGTATGCTCCCCTCTCGCATTGTCGCAACCAATTCTATCTATATGCAACCAAAATCAGGGCCACTCGGATTGCATATAAAACCCTCCGGGCACGTAGCTTTGTTAGTGCCGTGGTAGCCGTCGCATGTCAACTATTCCTGTTAGTTTATTTAATGAGGTTGTATCAATTTCTGCATACTAATCTTGTCCGATCACTACTACATGCCTACAAAACGAGACATTGGTCAATAAATTGTATAACTTGATTGAGAGATATGATAGACTCTTACGAGATATATCCCATCGCTTCGAGTACACTGCCCAACAACCAAAGTACCACTAAAGATAGTGATGAGGAGACCGAGGTGTAAAGAACGCATCTTTGGAAGAGTAGAATGTAGTCAAACTGATGGTGGAAAGATGATTATAGTACTCTGTAGCAGAGCTACCTATTTAATTAACAGCGTCACACTGTAAGACATAGATTAAGAACACGAATATCCAATTTATTAGGGCATTTTGACTTCAAAAAGCCTTGTCTAGTGCTTATCTCACTCGTATTTTAGATTCGGGCCCGTTCACCTTCATCTCAGTTTTCCAGCTGACATGTCGCCAATTCGGTATCCAAGGAGGCCAATTGACTGGTAAAGAACAGTATTGGGAGCAAAAAAAACAGAATAAAAACTATATAAATAGTCCAATAACTTCTACAAGACCATGCGTGAAAGTCTTGTATATTTCTATCACATCTAGCATATCGTCGATTTTTGCGTAGACAGAATCATGGCGGTACAAACGGAACTACTGGAGACTCGGTAACTCTCCATTTTTTTGTGGAGACCTTTCGCTTGGCCGTGTTCGATTTCGTCGTAATGTCGGTTGCTATGCCGTACAGGGCGTACGTAAATACGATCCCGTGGATCTGTGCGCCCATGAAAGGCAAAATGTGTCTACTGAGGACCAGATTCGAATTGAGTTTACCGCTATTGGTATGGTCCAAAGAAATGCGCTTGTTTCCAGTATCGCAATCTTTTGCTACACCCGCTGAAAAAGTATTTTGGCTTATTTGCATCTATCTGGCTGTATTGCTGCTTGGTACAGCTGTACGTACAAACACCTGGTCCAGCAACTTGATGAGGGCTAAAGCAACAGCCTGAACAAAGATCTAATTGCTTGCGGGAAATCGGGAAACCCACGAGCTAGTTGAAATGGGGCGGTGAGGGAGAGAGATGGCGGGTTGTGATGCTTGCGCTCAGGACTATGTGGAGTGTGGGAGACGATGCTTTCATCCTTAAGAGCGGACTAGAAGAGAGGATAGAGAAGACATTGATCGAAATGGTCCTTGAAAAGTACTATGTTGAAGTAGCATGTGACTAGACTACTAAATTTAATTAGCAGAGGACTCTAGTGTCGCTAGTTGGTTGGAGTAATCGTAACTTGACATAAAGTTTATAGATAAGTGACATACTTCGCGGGTGAGCGGCTTACTTACGTGAGCGAGCGACCCGCTTTTGTCAAGACCAAGGCATTACGGAGTAGTGAAATTATTTTATGATAACGCAAAAAAGCTGACTTTAGCTGTATCTAGCAAAAATAGAATACGAAATTTTGTTTCAAAAGCTACATAGTAGTAGTCATGATAAAAGAGGTGGAGCACGAGGCGGGCTGAAGACGACATCGGAGATTAGCATGGGCGCTTTGGCGTCGAAGCTTATATCTGTCGTCACCACCAAGCTAAGCATTTTTTGTCAGTCTAAATTGAGTTGTGCACCTGCTAGCAAATGCTTATTGCAAGGCCGTCGCGGGCGCTTCCACTAGCACAACAATTCCAAGACGGGCAATAGCGGCTCTTTCCCTTGTCATGGGTGTAGGATGAATGAAACCCGAGGAATTGGTTTCGCGTTGCGCATTGCAGACACTTGAGACTAACCATGACTATGGCACTCTGCTAGATGCTTGGCTCATTAGGTGCTCGAAGGACTTTAAATGACCTCCAGGGATTTATTCACATGCTCGGATGCACCGGCATTAATCACCTGGGCAACCGTATTGCGCTGGGTTTTTTGCATTGTGTGCTCGTGGGAGACATACGCGCATTTTCATCTTGATCCGGAGACGTTATCAAGCCGTCATAGAATTCCTGTGCCCATTTTGCTTGTGCTTCTGTATGGGTTGACACTTTTATCAATTTTATCAGCCAGTTTCGCTTACCGGCAACGGCGGTGTTCACTTGGAGCTCTGTTGCTGCCATCTCCTCTATGATAATAAGATCTTGGTGATCGTCCGTCTCTTTCGCTATGTTATGATAGCGCACATACAAAGGGATGTGATCTGGGTCTGTGCCGCGTTTTAGCATGACCAGTATGGCTTGGCCTTGAATTGATATCCTCTCCGCCCCTGCAAACTGCCGGGTAAGAGAAGAAGAGGAGCATCAAATCCATATGGAAGTGAAAGCTAAATTCATCAAAGTGGTTGCGAGAGGCGTTAAGGTGAAACTCCATGTGTTCAGATATGCTAGGGCTATACAGAGTTTTGAGAACGCGTCGTCGCACATGGGAGCGATGGAAGTAGCGTCGCCACGATTAGAGAAAGTATCAGTAAGACAACGTGACATAAGTATCGACAAACAAGGATAAAAATCTAGAGATCAAGGCCTAATAACGAATGAGGACGTAGCAGTGTTCTAAGTAGCAGTAGAGAGCACGTCACGTGGAGCTCAGTGGGCGTCTAGCAGCACCGGCACGCAATGGTCTCAGTGCATCGGACATGTGAACCGTTCGGCTATCGTAACAAAAAATCGCCGTAGTGGGGATACAATCGACCATCAATCGACCAATAGCCAGGAGATGATCTGACTGTGGAGAAAATACTCCGTAATGGTACTGGGATCTGCCTATGGGTCGTCAATTATTACCGGGCTCAAGAAGCGAACGCATTCCTAGCTCATTAGTGGATACCCCTTGCATACTAGAGCGAGATTCGGGGCTTCCGCAGTAGCCAGTGGCCATGGCGCACATGGTTCGGTACTTGGAAAAAGGATAACGGATTGGCGTCAGTAGGGGCCCTAGTGTTCCGCTCGCACGCAAGCCAGCCCACTGAAAACGGATGTACTAGGCCCGCTCGACCGTCGCTAGTCTAAGCGTTAATCTGGACAAGGGTTTTCGCAAGTAATAAGAACTGTGAGCCGTATATGGAAAGGTTCTCGCGCGGCGAGAAGAGAAGAGAGGGGGCGATGAGGATAGATAGTTCGCTCTCGGTGACGAGAGTGATTTCTGTAATCTGGGGATGGGTGGGCATGGATAATTGTAAGAAGCACGGACGGGGTGGTCCTAGCACGGAAGCGAGTGTAGCATGTAACCGCTACTGCGGCCCACACTTTGGTGTCAGTCCCTTTATGGTTATGATGGCTAACGGCGTCGCATGTTGTTTTGACATGAGCAAAACACGTGGACGAAGTGCTGCTTGCTCAAGTGAGGGAATCTTGGTAACGTTGACTACTAGTATGAGGGCCACAAAGGGCTTTTAGCTATGTAAGGGCTCGCTATTCGTGTTGTATTGGATTGAATTTATCGTCTTTGAGAAGTACCCTAGGAGGTTCTAGTCTCCCGCGCGGCATAAAGACGGGAGAGGCGTAGGGCTTACTTTTTATACTAATAGACACCTATTCCAAGTATATTTTTGCTTTTATATGTATCGCTCTCTCTTGATAGGTTGAGACAAGAATTCTTACTGTTCTTTATTTACTTAAATAATAACGTTGTGCTAACTTGCTAATTTTCTTTTCTACTTTGAATTGCATGCTTTACTCTCTAACTTCTACTTCTCTTAAGTAAAAACCTCGTAGGAGAAAACCTGAAGAGATGTGAATAAGAAGAGAAGACAACCTTTCCCTCTTGTTAATAACTTAGAAGAATAGCAAGTGGGTTTATATAGGAACGTGTTTGATAGCTGTTGGATTCAAATCAACCGTCTGAAAGGCTACTACGCTTGGAGAAGAACAAAAGAAAAAGAGAGGAGATATTCCCCAAAAGCATCATACATTAGGCGTGAAGCGTGAGTCCAGATGGAAAATACTTGTAATTAACATGACATCGTACAAGAAGGGGAACATAACGATTGAAGTGGTGGGACAAAGGAGACAGGGCACTGAAAATGACGCCATAGATTGGGAAAAGGACCATTGGCGTGGTTAAAACCCAGATACCGGGCCAATGAGGGAGTCATTCAGGTAGAAAAAGTCGAGGATGAAGGGATCAGTACCAGTGTCGGAATGTGAGAAATTATCGATTTCAGCATGGCCGGCACGCTCGTATCGAGTACCTCCAGGCTTTACATCGTCCATGCCCGGAGTCGCTGTGATCCGGAGCTGATCATTAAGCTCAGTACTGCTGGAATTAGTATTAGGGCTCTTCAGATTGACCATTTGCTTTCACTGCGTCGGCATGATGGTGCGTCTATTTGGTCCGACTCAAATGGTGCTCGAATATATGTCCTCCAAGCTCTCGTGCAGCGTTCCATTTCCACACTCCAGAACCAGTGGATAGGGACTGTTTGGTCTGAGAGTCGCGGCATATGAAAACATCGGTACCTTTAGTGAGGTCACTGAGACTTTTGAATTCTTTAGAATGTTTGTCCTCAAAGTGCCGCACGAATTCGGCTCGTGATGTCCATCTTCTGTTCTTGTGCTCTTTGCACTCCTTGGAATATCCTGGACATCCATATGGCATCACATGCGGCGTGTCCTTGGCTGACTTTTTTTGAACCGGTCCTTTGCCCTTTGAAGCCTTGCACGGGCGTTTGGCGTCTTGGGGCCAAGGAGCCGGCTCCTCGTCAAGGCCTTGGGACATCTTTCGCTTGGGATCCATGTGCGTTTCCACGAGCAAATGTAATGGAAGAAGTTCTACCTTGGGTCAGCTTGTGAAGATAGTGCAGTCATACTTGCTCACTCACCATTGGCGGAGATGACCAGGTCCAACTGTTCCTTTGTCAACTTTGACAGGTCCTCGTATATGTGGTGGTTGCCAGCTTGCTTCGAATGCTTGTGCGTCTGGACTGTACGTGCGAGGGAGCGAGCGACAGGTGTGTGGTTGAGAGCGGATATTGCAAATTTGTCACTTGCATCGAGTGCTCGACATGCTGCCAAGTTTGGGTGAAGCGGGCGTTGTCACATTGATAGTCGTGTGCATCAGCAGCGTTGCCGTTGAAGCAACACACAGCGACATTTTCTTTCCCTCTCTCTTTGATCTCTCGTATTCTCTGCTCAATATGAATTCAACTCGACTCGGCAATGTGACTGGTACGAAACGGTCGGCTGCACCTTGTGTGGCTTGGCGCTGGAGCGTACATGGCCCACTGGGGATACGATTACAAACATTATCATCGGGGTCCTGGGGCTGAGCTTGTCGATGCTGCAACTTTTTTTTTTTGGAAACCGGGTCGCCGACGCGATTCGTTGTAACTGAGTGTCGGTTGCAGTCACGTCTCTGAGCTGATAGACGACGTGACAGGGATGACGCAACAGGGGTGACGCGAGTATCCCGGTCGCGCTCCTGTGCGTCATGTGGCGTCGCGACGAGGGTGCTCGGATGGGCCTGCGCTGATTACGCAGTATAGTACAAATCCTCAATGTCGGACGGCTCCAAGACTTGAATCTGCCGGCCAGGGCGGTCTATAAGGTGGCCAAACACACCTGGCTCCAGCGACGTCGCCCGCTCTAGCACCCTGGGCGCATGTGATAACCCTTGTCGAGCGTCGAGAGCCAATGAATCCAATTCATCTTCGACCAGCCCGCCACATTCGCTGCTTTGTCTTGCGCTCTGATGCTTTGCCCCGTAGGCCTTGCGTACAACCCAGTTATAATGCTGTTCATAACACTGCAATCGCAAGATGCGCATGTATTCCGCTTTCTTACTTTTTTTGCTTTTGCCTATTATCTGACGCCTAACATGTCGTGCTTGGCTTGTAAACCTGCATCTCGATTCAAACACAAACAGGTGGTTTTGTTTCGGACCCAAAGTTTTCCTTCGTCGCAATATGTCACGTCGCGTAGAGTTTCTCGTGGATTCCGTGTGACCATGATCGTGGGACAGAAGCCGGACTGCAACCTGCAACCTGCCAAATACCTGGCTCGCGGGCTCGACGACGGCTGTGAAGCACAACACTAGCCGTTATGGCCCTTTTATCGCCGCGCGCGTGTGCGCTACGGGCAACGGTCCCCAACGTCGCGCCCAAAAACCTAAAACAAATTTCTTCAGTCTCTTCGATAAGACAACCAGTAGTAGAGTACATTGTTTCTTAGTTGAGCAAGCGGCTATTATTAGCAGCACGAAAGAATAGCAATGGCTCAGTTCACCTCTCCATCACTACGCCAAGCCGCTAGCGAGCTGCCTCCTGTCCTCCATCTTTTTATGCTGCACTGCAGCCTTATCATACCACACATACGCTATGCATGGCCAAGGATTTTTTAAAACCCTAGGCGCCAAAATTGGCGCCCACAGAAACAAAAGGTCCCGTCTACAAGGGAAAAAAAATCCCATTTCTACATGTTGGATCTGAGACACAGTTCAACAAAGGGAATTGTATTGAAAATTGATCCAAATCGTCTGACTAGTTAAGACAGTCAATCGACCGCACTATATACATGAGTGTTTATGCTTATCCAGACCGAAGATAGTCACGTGATCCGACCACGTGATCTATTGTCACATGACTAAGGATCAATCCATAATCTAATCAGAGCCACAGGTCAGATCTAACCTCATGAATAACGAATCTACGCCTATGGATCAGTTTCTTGCGACACATATTTATATCATAAAACTGTAGTTGAGTACATTGTTAATACCTACAGTTGAAGCTAGGTACTGTGCCTTACAAACACTCTTATTCGCCGATATAGCAATCAAATAGGGTACAAATAGCAGTATTCTAATCCTACAGCTAAACGCAATAGGAAGCAAAACATAGATTTTACGGTTCTATCAAAGAGTGTATCACAAAAGTGAAATCTAACTGTTAGATTACAGGCTCAAAACAAGCTCGTTTATCACTGGTTCCATGTCTTATTGCTTTTCAAATCTCCAATGTTTTTCAAAACACTCCTGGGCTTACCGTCGTAACCCACCTTTTCCATCCACTCTTTAAGGCTGCGGATTCGCGTAGGATGGATCCGATCCAAAAGTTCCATGTCTCTAGTAGCGCCAAGGCCTTCACTCCAATACTGCCACCAAGCTGCAAAATTCTGCCTCCACGTCATCGACGATTCGTCACGGACTACGTCTGGTCCCGCAGCCCAATTTGCCCAAGCATTGGGATATGGCTCAGCAGCAGGGAGGTATTCTTCGAGTGGTACGTAAACATGTGCGGCTTTCTTTCCCGTGACTTGTGTAAATGTATCAACAATCTCGGCGAAGCTGACTTGCTCGGTCGCAACTTCCAAATCTAACCCTGCCGACTCTGAAGGGTTGTCGAATATCCACAGACTGTAGACACCCACGTCATCGAGGGCTATCAGCGGAATCTTTCCGTCCCCTGCAAAGAAGAATCAGCGATGCTTTCCGCAAGCGACATGAGAAGCGAGAAGCAAGACTTACGAGCTGGATTTGCCCATACGAGCGAACCGTCAGCTTGTTCTTTTGGAACATACATCCCATCAAGCAACATATCCATATAAGGCCCCGTCGTCAACAAAGACGTTTTCATCGTCTCTTGACCATGACCAAGAATCAGATCACCAACCCGACCTTTTGCATCATTGTGACCCCAATGATACTTTTCATCCCAGCCGGCTTTCTTGAGCGCATAGTCTGTATTTGCCCAGATAAAATGCTTCACACCGTGATGCCTGGCAATCTCGTACGCTCTAATGCCATAAAACAGCTCGCTTTTTTCGCCGAGCGTGAAGCCATCCGTGTTCACCCAGGCGCCATACACGCCATTGAAGGCTCGATGGAGGTCTTTTTGCTGATCCTGACTCCCTTCGATGAGAGTGACATTCGGCAGAGCAGAGAGTTCCTTGGCTCGCGTGGAATTGGCGCTTCGAGTCAGAACTCTAACACTGTAGCGATTGCTGCTTGAAAGAGCTGGTCGTAGCGTTAGTACACGTACCAAAATCTGTAAACTAGGAATTACCTTTGACGACGGGGATCCCTTGCGCGCCTGTTCCGCCAATCACCAGAATAAGCTTAAGGTTCTCCATTAGACTGTTTGTTGCTTTCTGGTGTGTAGTGCTTTTGAGTTACTCAAATTATCCTTGGTTCTACTTGGACAATGTTCGCTTGAAGTACATGAAGCGTCGCCGATACCAAATACAACACCCCTGTCATTTCGCAATTTCGTACGGACCAACATTTTCCTCAAGGAAACTAGTGGATGTTTCCTTTGCTGTGATTTCAAATGCTGCATATCATGAGCGATTTGAAATCATTACCAAGAGCATGACTGACATGTCTACCAATTTTTGGTGTTGTCGAGAATGCAAAGGGATAGCGCCAAGAGTCCGAGGAGATGGATTAGTGATCCACGTGTCGTAAAAGCAAGTAAGGAAAAGAGCGCTTGCCGAGGTTCTGCGCTAATGGTTGGCGCAAAGATCAGTAATCCCGATATTCAACTAGATGAAAATCAGCTGACTAACCCATACTGCTTTTGCACCACCAATTAAATTCTTCTCGTTCCTGAATTGTCCAGATTACTAATTGCGAAATGGACAAAACCATCGCTGATGTAACTTTCTACTAGACAAACATTCTATTGCGTCTTCAGTCGCTTACCAAGATGTTCTGGTAAGCCAGTTCATGCCCGTGACTATCTTGTACGTCAAGAAGCTCGATAACTATAAAGAAAGGCCTTTGTACGGAGCTTCGAGGAAAGTCATTAGATTAAGAAAAAGCATCCTTGATTTACAACTTCTATCCAATCCCACAATGTCAAATTCTCTCGTATTTATCACCGGCGGAACCGGATTCATTGGCGCACATACCGTTCAATCATTGCTTGAAGCTGGCTATCGTGTGCGTCTGAGTATACGAAGGCCAGAACAAGATGCGATTGTCAAAAAGCGGTATCCAAAATTCGCATCAGCTCTCGAGACTGTATTGGTAAAGGACTTCTCCGATCCAGAGTCGTTCAAAGAAGGTCTAGCTGGAGCTGAACATGTCATCCATCTCGCAACACCAATGCCCGACCGTTCTGGCACAGACTTTCGCAAGGACTTTGCCGAACCAGCAGTCAACGCAACTCTCGCAATCCTCAAAGCTGCATTGAATTTTCCGCAGATTAAGAAGGTGCTTGTCATGTCCTCAAGTGTCGCACTGCTTCCTGTTTCTGTGTTAGCGAGGCCTGATTTGGAGTATGAGGTGAAGGGTGAGTTATTCGCTCAACTTACTGGAACACTTGCTAATACGAATAGACAACACTGGCGAGGTCATCCCTGTCGACTTTGACGCTGAATTCGCCCCAGGCCTCATGGGGCAGGTCGTCAAATACTCTGCGTCTAAAATTGTTGCCCACCAAGCAACGCGTGATTTTGTCAAGGAAAAGAAGCCTAACTATACACTGATCACTCTTCATCCCACCTACGTTATGGGTCATGATCTCACCCAAGAAACAGCAGAAGGCTTAGGTGGGATCAATTCTCTCCTATGGGCGTCACTTGGCTCGGAGAAGCCACTGCTCGGAACGTCTTGGATTCATGTTCAGGACGTTGCGGATGCGCACGTGAAGGCCTTGGAGGCAAATGTCGAACATGGGAAAGAGTTCCTTCTTTCAGGCCCATCATTTGCATGGGAAGACGCGATACAGTACATCTGGAACAAGTATCCTGACTTGGGAGTCAAGCTAGTGCCTCCATTTGAAGGAAAGTGGACAGTCGACGTAACTGGTGCAGAAACAGTATGTCCTTCCAAAAATTCACTACAGAATTTAGCTAATTGCGTCATATCTAGATCCTCGGTCTCAAATGGAGACCCAAAGAATTGATTCTGGACGAGGTCATTGGACAGCAGCTTGCCCTTGGTAATAAGTTGCCGTAAAGTTGGAAACGATGGGACATTACAGAACGCAATGGCGTGTTTTTGTCAATGAAGAGATCTCTGGGGTGTGGAAGCTAAATTGAGTTTACTTTGATTATTGTACTAATAGAACCTGTTACGGAACATGATTTTGAATCAACTATCTTTGAACTGTACCCAAAGTACAAAAAACAGTCTCAAGAAGAAATATCTAGACGTGCCATGGGGGAAAAGGACTACACCAGTGATGTGACTCTCGAGCTCTGACCTCTCTCTCCTCAAATGCTTGTTTTTTCCCTAGTTCCGTGGCCTGTTTTTTTTTACCCAACCGGCGACTTGAACAATAAGATCCGAGGATAAACCAAGCACTAGGTCTATACAATTTGAGATTTCATGAACCGTCTCACCACTTATCCCAACATTCGTTGACGCCACAGTTATATAACATACGATAGTGTGGGGTTTAAGAAGAGAAAAGAAAGGATAGACACAGTATAGTGTTGGGATAAACGCGGATATCGTTAAAATGCATTTTATTTTGTCATGTCACTGAAACTTCTCAGGACAAACTCTCGAAGAGACAATCCAGGAGCGTCGGATATGACATGTTAGTTATGAGACCAGCCAGTCTAATTGAACCCTACAAACTTGTTAATTTAGGTGCTATTGAGAGCAGTTAGACCATTAAGAACGCAATGTACATAAAACCTGCATGACTGGTCTTCGCAATTGTCATTATTTCAAAACATGTGTTGGCTATGCGTCGCCATACCACTAGTCATAGTCTTATGTGTAGAAAGCTTTGATTCTAACTAGTTGGCATGCCTTTTGAAAGTTTTGGCGTCCTCTCAGATATCAAAGGGTTGACAGTGCCTCGGTGCTGTAGCTTGGCTACTACTAAAGTGTAAAAATACTACCATGCGTACATCTTTCTCATCGCAAAATGCTCAATGTTAGAAAAAAGACCCCGAAAGTTTGCACTGTATGTACTGAAATCAGCAGATCTCTCTCGATTGCGACGTAATTTTTTTGTACACCCCAACGCCTAGTTGCACACCATAGAACATCAAACTGCAATCGCCTATCGGCGTGGGATCCTAAATGGATGTGCTTCGGTGTTGAATACAAAATCATCCAGACTGATCGTTTTAGGGTCGCTGAAAATAAGATAAAAGTACTTGAGCGTCTCAGCCAACTAGAAACTCTCCATCGAGTCGTATTTTTCTGGTGGCGACTTCATGACATCGGAAAGCGCGGCGTTGGCAAGGTCGGTTCGTGTACTGGCGTCGATGGCCTGGAACATTTCCCACGCAATGTCCTGGTACTTGCGCTCACCTGTTATCCGATATATATAGAAGACAGACTCGATCGCTTCTGGTCGGAGGATGTATCGACCATCACCGATATCGCTGAACGGATGTGGACCAGACTGAGGCTTGTAATCGCATGGCTCCCATGTAGGACATGGCGTCATAGAGAAGACTTCTGGCACGATTCCGTTGGGTGAGTACTTGTATGTCCATGCACAGCCGTCTGTAACTTTACGGCCAAAGTCCATATAAGTGGTATTTCCAAAGAGACGTCCTCCGAGTGCTAGCATGCCTCCAGCAAAACAGACCAGATGCTGCCCTTTGTCACTCCTATTGCCTTCAACGTTAGCGCTGGCGATCAGAATATCGGCCTTATCTTCAACCATAGGTCGGAACATAGTATGAGTTGTCGCAGTTGCCATTGCATAGTCGTACATCTTACGATACCGAGTCGCCTCTGGACCGTCGCCGTTGAGCAGCTGATACATCTTTGGCAGGTATTCATAGGCCGAGTCTGCCATTGCTCCTAAGCCGAAGAAGCCATCGAATGTCAAGTTCCCGTTTCGCAAGTCCACACTGATCGGCCACATCCCTGGAAGTCTTGTGAGTCCTTGCTGCTGATCAAGGATATCTGTTACTCTTGTGATAGCGTCGAAATAGCGCATATCTCCAGTAACCTGCGAAAGACGTGTGAACTCCACGCTCGCAGAAGCCGCTTCGGCAAGGAGAACCGAGTCGTGTGGTAGTTGCTCTTCTCCATCGGCGGCTTTTTGCGGACTCCACCTAGAGACAATCATTCGGTTCGGCGTGTCGAATGAAGCATATGCCATGTCCGCAACTTCCATAGCCTTGAACAGCAGGCGTGAATCGCGACATCCAGAAACATCATAAGCACCCAGGAAGCCTCCGAGGTACCGGATGATGATCTATCTTTCCGAGCTTTCATGCGTAGAGATGACTGTAATTCCGTGCTGCTACCGTTGATTTAACTACTCTCCAACTCGGAATAATCATCCTGCTATGTTTGAAATCATGTACTCGCGTTACTGCTCCAAACCCCGCCCTTTCCGGGCTTTCATATGTGGAAATGACTGCGGCTACGTGCTTCTACTACTGCTTCAACAGCTCGCAAACCCCAAATGGTCATCACAGTGGAAAACACAATGATGGCTAAGGTATCAAGTTGCTAGGAATCAAACTGCAAAAAAGGATGGCCTGCTGCATAGCAGGAAAATCCTAAGTCCACAAAATGACGCTTGGATAAAGAGGATGGCGCTGACGGCGACAAGACCAAGAATCATAATCCTAAGTTGCATTCAGCGCTGCTGAACCTCTGGGATCACGCAGTCCAGCCAGCCTTGCAAGCACTAAGACTCCTAAGGCACGATCCCAAGCCCAAACCATTACCTCGCGTAAGGTGGGTTGTCAGTGGCATTGCATCATTGCTGCCGCTCCACGCTGCAGGATCACACACTCCCGGGTCAACTGACTGATGACACTATCAGTCATGTTGTCTCTTCGTGTTCTCCAATTCTTGTGGCGCTAGACTCACTTTGTCGAAAACCTCAATTTGTCATACATGATGAGAATGCAAATGTTGTTGTGGTGTCCATGCCAACAAGCCCTCGACATACGCCTTTGGCTTTCGCTTAAGAAGTGGAGGCAATTGTGACACATATTATGTTTTGGGCATCCACGGTCTCCCTTGAGCAGCCAACAAAGAAGCGAGTTTTGTATCCATTAACATCTTGCACAGTTGCTCACTTTGCGTGCCACGGTATCGTAGATGAGAACAATCTATTGCAAAGCGGGTTGATTATCGAACAAGAAGTAGACGAGAATTTGAGTGTTGCCGACCTCGAGAATATAACGCGTGAGCATTCTAGAATTGCTTAGCATACTACGAAATGTTAGATCCGTAGCTATCTCTGTAACTATCTTTTCATGTTGTAATAAAGCATCAAAGTTGCCATTTTTTCTGGTTCACGGGACTCTGCGCCTGCTTAGTCTTAGTGGCTCCTACTCCACGATAACGCTTTCTTCCTCCCGCGTTCATCACCTCGCCTTCTGCTTTATAATTTGCCTCGTACGCTCTTCCGTTGTTATGAGATTAGGATAGAAAAGGAAGGCAGCCCCCCCCTTTTGTTTGCAAGTAGCTCGCGCTCCCGCTAAATATTTATAACGCTCTTCTACTGCACAACTTGCTCACATTGGTGCCTGAAGCCATCTGGTCTTTGCTGCAGATTGCCTTCTTATTCATCGCTATCCTCATTATTCTCCTCCACTTCTGTCACTACGCGCCCAATTTCCACCACACTTTCTCATCGGCCATGGACTCAACGACCACTGTGGACCTCAGCTAGTGCCGAATACTTCCAGGTATGACTTGTTCTTCCGTAGCGAAAGATGGAATCTAATCCAGAAATGTAGGCATTATGTCATCACCGGTCCTCGTCTCGATCCATACTCCTTCCTCCCTCGAAACGTCCCATACGCAAGGGTAGACAGCATCCCCAAATACTCAACCTACGGCCTGTCTCCAGAACGGTGACAATGACTGTGGTTCGACTATCAGGATTGCGGTATGCCTGGTGCAAGGGATGTTCTGAGGCAAGGTAGGGACCCCCTGCTCAACCCCAGTAAAGAAGATTTGTCATCCTTCCGACAGGAGCCCCTCGACAAGAGGGATACCATTTATGAAGATATACGTGCATATAGAGAGGCACTGTTGGGGGGTCGGGTCTTTTCTAGTTTTTCCTCCGCGCTCTGCTCAGTCTTTATGGCTGACAAGGAAAAACTGCAGGGCGACTCAATCTTTTGATTGTTGAGACAATGGTTTGGTGGTCATCGCTGCTAGTACCATGGTTGAAGTGAGTGGTTGCTGGGCTGTGCAGTCCCAGAGTTGCGGTCCCATTGACGGGTTGAGGGGGGCCGCGTGCGAGCCTTGGTACGCTTGTTCATGAGATGACTGAGGAGTCATATTTCGGTGTTGCGGCCATGGTTAGAAGTTGGGTCAGGTCCTCGCTGGTTGCTTGAATGGGCAATCTCCAAATTTGTCAGGTGCAGTGGGTGCATGGACCTTGCTAGCTTGCATACACTTGTCATATCAAATTGATCCCGTGCTTGTATTCTCAATGCTGGATTAGATGACCGGAAGAGCAGAGTTTATTGTGGTTCGAGATATGGCTCCCCTTTAGACCATGGTACGTCGTTGTTGAGGTGAATCCCATTAATGAGCCGCACTTTGGCTAAGAGAAAAGCGGAGGTGCATGGTCTAGAGCCATGCGCACATGTCGTTACTTATTCACACTACAACCCACGAATCGCAACGCGACATGTGTATCCCGCAGCCCTGCACTATTAAGGGCCTAGTCCCGGCCCTGTACCGTGCCAACAGAGCAACTCAACAACAAAAAAGCCATAACAAACGATGGAAGCAATTTTCTGAGCCATGTTGAGACCTTCTTTGAAAAGCAGGGAGGCAAGTACACCCTTCATCCAAGGCTTATTAAGTATCTATACTGTATAAAGCTTACTAGAATTAAGGTAGACACAATTTTCTCTAATATCACTTGCTAGCCCTGAGGCTCTTGTGCGAGCTGCTATAAGTTATTATTATTTTTTTATATATATTGTAACTTATTGTGTATGCGTAGATATGTATAGGTTTAGGTATATGTAGGTTTGGACGTGTGTACATCACGGAAGAGGGATTAAAAAGTGGCACGACACACGATTATAGGCCACCATTGCCCTATGTCTTCTAAGATTGTCAGGATATAGGGTGAATGCTTGTTCTACTATCGACTCAGAGGTAGAGGTCTCTGCCTTCTACTTGTCCGTAGTAGACTCAGAGGCAGTCTGATCCAGAGGATTCTAGGAGAGGAGTGGATTGATCCTGATAGACCCTCTGATGGTCTTAGTGTACCTCTCTCTGCCCTCTATCTACTTAGCTATCCTACTACTATATATATTGGCTGGAGTAGAGTCTAGATAATTCTATCTAGTAGTAGCTTGCGTAATCTATAGCGTCATAGATAGATATCGAGTACTATTAGCATAATAGCTTCTAGTAATCGATTCATTACAGAATCTGTGTGTAATCTGGATTACCCTGATTCTATGAGATATCAGCTGAGTAGCTTATATCTCTAAAAGAGACCTCACCGTAGAATTGGCACTTGGGATAAATTTGGCTACGATAATTAATATTGATACAAATCTAGATATATTTATAAACCTCGAGGCGGTATATCATATATCTTTCAAAGTGAAACCTGCATACGAATATATTTAGTATATCTAAACTGATTTAAGAAAGACCTGAGGCCTTGCTAAATGTTTTACTAATTATATTAGTGTCTACTGTCTCTAACGCTAGTCTCGCCTGCGACACTTCTCTTTAAGCAAAGTCATACTGGCCTTGTTATATTACTATCCACGTACAGTTCCCCTTCCTTCTAGCCGCGCATCGTTACCCAATGTATAGAAATGTATTCTATTATAAGTTGGATATAAGACAGTTACTTATAAAGTCTTAGAAGTAATCTACATATAGGATGCTTAGGCTATTATTAGTTCTATTTTTGCCTGCGTTTAGTTGTTGGGCTAGGTTCTTTTACGGCAGGCATATGAGTCCTAGTATGTACTCTAGCAATAATATGGCATAGCTACTTGCAAGCGAGATTGGCACGAACTATGCTACTATATAGGGTTACAAGTAAATCTAAGCTACTTCACCACTAACTTAGTTATATTATAAAGCTGGCGGCTGAGGAACGTTAATGAGGCATCAATCGCGAGTCGCATTCATCTACAAGACGACAGATGATACTTCTCTTCTTCTTTCAATTCAAGCAAAACTAAACAAAGATATAACTCTCCTAATACTAATTTATCCATCATACTTGTTAACAATTAATCCACTCTAATCTCAACCTCCAGATTGGATTAGATTGACAGTTAGCCAAAAATAGATTGTCCTCGACAAGCTAGGTGACTGCGGCGAGCCTAAAGTGCCAAATGTTGAAGCCGGAGAGCTCATTCGCGACCGCCTGGCACAAAGCCAGTCAGAGTTGACCATTAAACGCTGCGATGCTACTGTAAGGCACTAAGCGCTACTAACATGCCAAGGGGCTCAACATAAAAGGGTGATGAAACATTGGCTGCCACTACAAAGCTAATATACCCAAAAACAGAGCTCTGGCTTCGGGTTGCTGTAGCCTAGAACGGAAAAATTAACTAATATGATGGCAGACGGCGCACTGACATGGTGGTCAGTATTTCCGCTTGTCAAGCAATTGACAGATCGCGGGAGACCGGGGTTCAATTGTTCAATTCCCCGCTGGAGAGTTTGTTTCTTTTTTGCATTTTTTGGATAGATGTCCAAATGTTAAAAAGTAGTTACACGTCCGTTTGAAACGCGACGAAAAGTCGGGAACGAGCATTGATAACTGTTGGATGACGGACTCGTCTGAGCAAATTGGCCTGTTAATATTGCAGTCACAGCGATCGACGATGCTTGTTGTGGCGGTTAAGATGCTCTTCTGATTGGACAAACATTCTGCAAGTAACTTATATATTGTACTTGTACTCGTAACTTAAGTTGAACACATCGAACCATAAGGGCTCAATGCCTAATGCTATATACTAGGGCAGTCCTAGTGTCCTAGCAGTCCTAGTGACAGCAAAGGGTTGGGGGACTACGGGGATCGGTAGGACTGGTCACGTGGTCCTAGTGAGTCCTAGTNTGCAAGTACTCTCTGTATTGTACTTGTACTCGTAACTTAAGTTGAACACATCGAACCATAAGGGCTCAATGCCTAATGCTATATACTAGGGGGTGTGGCTTGCCCAGTGTTGAGCAATATATTACTCAGTACTGAGCACCGTTAATTGCTTGTCTCTTTTCTTTGTGACTGGCTGTCCCCGCTCAATGCTGAGCGCTTGCTTATTGCTGAATAGTCACGTGACTGTGGCGGGGTTGGAAGGATTGCGGCACGGCGTTTTAGGTTCGATCCTCCAAACTGCTGACAGTCGCTGGGCGTAATCATTTTGAGTGTCATCGAGGTGTTCATTTAGGTGTGCCCTTTCCCGAGATCGTAACACTCTATAGGCACAGCGCGCAGCTATTTCAACAGAAAAAGAAGCTAAACAAGCAGTCGTAGAAGCCGCAGCGCTTTCTCTTAGCTCTATATGTAATAAGTGGCAAATACAATCGTCGTTGTCGAAGAAATCGCGACTTTGAGTTGAGTGGCTCCTTTGGGTGGGGTGGCCGCAAGGTATATCCCTGAGCTTGTAGCCACCTTCGTTAATAGCCTTGGAAGTCTCATCACCGTTCCAAGTCACTGCAGTACAGTGCACCTATTGGAGCTACAATCTGTTGGCGCAAATCTGGAACAAATGGCGTCTTAGATCCAGAGTACATCTTCGTTCAGTGGCCTAGGAGGCGGCGCAGTTTGCGCAAGGGCGCAGTACGATGAAGACAAAAGCTCGGCTTGCTTCCCTTATCTTCTTTCTAGATAACTTGTGCTTTTAACTGTGTATAGCTAGCAATCGTGTACAAAATGGTGTCCAAAAGACGTGAACACCCGCCCCCCAGGCGATCGCAGCCTAAAAGACGAGGTATGGAGGGTTTATCGTTGACTCTGCGTTGCTGACATGTTTAGTTTCTGCTGCATCCGTCTTAGGATTTGACCTCTGCAAAAGATGTAAACGTATCGATCTAGACAAGGCGTTTCGGACGAAACATCTTACAAGAGTGGGTAAACCACACTACAAACTGAATTCGACAGAGAACTGGAGCATCGATAGCTGTTCGCTCTGTCAACTTATGCTTCAACTCGTTCCAGCGCAAGCAGGAAATTCCAAAAGCCACGAGCTTCGATCCTTGAGCAGTAACAGAATCCCGGAAAGGGGTTGGCAAGCTGTCGATACAACCATGCTCGCCATTGACAGAAGCTCAGCCTTCCTACTCAAACAATCAGAGCATGCCCCAGTCATTCGACTTATACGACCCAAAATCGACCCCGAATTGATCAAAAGCTGGCTCAACTACTGCCAAGACAATCATTCCAGTGCATGTGGTATAGGAGATGGACCACTTTCGTCCAAGTTCATCACATCCCCGCTCTCTGCAATCACCTCGTTTAAAGTAATCGATTGTGAGACGAGACAAATTGTTCATGGCTCTGGAGTCCAATACGTGGCTCTAAGTTATGTATGGGGAGCGGGTGAGAGAGGTCCAGACTTTTCTCGAGTGTTGCCACCTCAGCTGCCTGAAACTATTGAAGACGCTATTGTCATTACTCAATCCTTGGGTATGCGATTTCTCTGGATAGACCGGTTTTGTATCAATCAGTCTCAGCCAACTGAAGTGCAGGAACAGGTGGGGCACATGGACTTGATCTACAGCTGTGCTTATCTCACAATTATTGCCGCTGCAGGAGCAACCCCCAATCACGGCCTCCCAGGTGTCGGAAAAAGATGCAGACAACCCCAACCGCACGGAACAGTCCGAGGACACATGTTAGTATCGTCTCTCCCGGATCCAAGAGACGAAATACGACATTCGAAATGGTTTCAACGAGGCTGGACTTATCAAGAAGGCATTCTTTCTCCCAGACGACTTATCTTCACCGACAGTCAGGTATACTTCGAGTGCTCTGGCATGTACTGTTGTGAAGCTCTCATCCTCCCCTTACGAAGCCTCCATACTCAGAACGGTCACCGTTTCAAAGCACAATTTTGTGACAAAATTAACATTGGGATGTTCCCGAGAGGAATCGGCACGTCAGACTGGGAGATAGTCCAAAGAATTGAAGAATATACTGAAAGGCAGTTGACCGATCCCACTGACATCTTGAAGGGGTTTCTTGGCGTCTTACACGCCTTTGCAAGGAGCCGGAAACGAGTGTTACATTGTGCTGGCGTGCCGATAATTTCGGCATCTTCACAACGAAGGCTTGGTCGGGAATCAAAGCCACGTCTACACGAACTGTCTCCACTCACTGGATTTTTGGGGGGATTATGTTGGGGGGTTGCTGCACCAGCAGAGCGGCGTGAGGGGTTTCCGTCCTGGTCCTGGACAGGTTGGCGAAGCAAGATAAGATGGGAAATAGAAGACTGGCAATGGAACCTGCTAGGCCCGAACAAGGATCTTCAAATCTCAATCCAGCTTGAAGATGGGAGCGTTGTTAACATGGAGAAATTCTGTCACGCCTACGACGACATGAGCATGAAGATTTCCGACACTTTGCATATCGCTACCTGGACCTTCCCGGTGCGAATCCGTAGAAGTCGGACGATTTCCTCTACCTTGGAGTATGATGCAATAGTAGAACTCGAAGACAAAGAACCATCCGTATGGAGATTCGCGCCAACTTGCACTACACCCATTCTTCCGGATACCAAGTGCACTGGGATACATTTGCTTCACACCACTGAAGGAGAGGTATTCCAAAGACTGTATGTTCTGGTGATTCGGGAAGTGGAGGGTGGAGTATATGAGCGAGTGGGTCTTGGTGAAATGGATAGTGATATGATGACAGTTTCCGAGTTTAGGGGATTGAGGCTTGGAAATCTGGATGACGATGGATTACGACCATTTGTAACAGTATGGCGACCACTTCCTGCACCAAAGAAAGTATGGAAGGAGTTTCAGCTTCGTTAGGCTGCATTCAAATATAAAGCGTAGCTATTTGCAATAAGTAACGGAATAAAGTTTGTTTTTAGCTTTCTTCTAGGAGAAACATCAAGTATTCCAACCTGACAATCATTCTTTGAAAGATCTTCCTCAATTCTCTATTTGGAGTCTGTGCTTCGAATCAATAGAATGCTAATCTCTAGAGGCCTAATTGTGTAAAGTTTATTCTGTCCTCTAATCAATATCACGCCGAGATAATATGTATATCCTCAAAAAAGCATATATAGTGTTACCCTGTACTAGTCATAAAAAGAGAACTTGAAAGCAGTCTTCTCAACGCATTTCAGCGTATTAGAGTAAACATCTTCTGCGTTATTGTTAACCTAATCCTACTCAAACTTAAACCCTACCCTCTCAATGTAGTATTATATTTTTAGTGTTGTAGATGTAAGCTACACAACTGATCTACAATAAAAATTGATCGATGTTAGACCGATTTGTTGGTCCATAATCTTAATGCATTGGATCAAATCCATCACTTACTGATTATCGATCAATACTCGGCTGATTCAGCAGAATGCTGGTGATCAGCAATCCATCCGGATTCTTGTCAGGTCTCAGGCCCAACCGGCTTCCTCAGCCACTTGAGCCACTAGTTTGGCCTGCTGTCTTCTCTTGCTCTCTTTGTTGTTTTCCTTCCTTTCACTCACTTGACAAGTTGCAGGATTGACAAGCTGATTGACTAGCAATCAGATTACTAGTCAAGAGATTTGTCTCAGCTAGCTTGCTAGAGCTGGCAGCTTCGACCAGCCTATTCCAGCTAGTTCTTCCGCTATTATTAGCCGATCTCTAGAGTAAATCCCCTAGATCTCGCCCATATTTAGCTCAGTATCTGCGATTTCTGTACCTCAGATAGATCGCTCTTTTCTTACTTTGTTTGACCACCCGCACTGCGCGAAGTCGCCCTCACAGTATAGGAATATCGCACTGGGATATATAGGCTACAGCTGTGGACACAAAGATACTTAGTTCTTGGTGATGCGCTAACAGTTAGATACATAAAGTGATAGGAAGAACACAACGATTTTGCGGACATGGGCTTGTCCATAGACTGCAATTTCCCTAAAAGAGTTTAGTTTTGGAATTGGGAATATTCCTAGATGTGCTGGAGCCAATAGCCTAGGTGGTACTAACAAGCCGAACATAGGTTGTAGAGCATGCAATTGCGCTAGGACCTTGTAGAGCCCTAGTAGCGCGGACGTGGTAGCGGACGATGTAAAAGATGAATTGCTTGAGATTTGTTAATGCAGGCTCGCGCAGCTGGTAACGTGCTTGCTTTATGATAATCATACCACGCAATAGACATATAAATCGAGTTGGGCCGTTGGTGTACCCCCTGTTGCGCTTGTCATGGCTTACACCGCCATCGCCATAGATAACATAGAATGATGACTAAGTAAATTATATAGTAAGATGATGTTGGTCTACCGCTACCAATTATTTTCTATATTCTTCTCAAAGTTTGTATTGTAGTTCGCCTGCATTGCCTGCCATTCGCTGCCGCTGTACTCTGCTAGGTCGTCTCCTGAATCTGATTCCTTCCAGTATCGCTGCTCACATCTGTCCTGTCGATCTGTTATTGAACAAAAGTGAGCTTATGTAGATTGCATTTGGAAATTACCCTTTCGGACCTCTCTAGAGTTCCTTGTCTCAACAATTGCTTCTGCGGGAATGCGATGAAGGCGTAGAAAGGCACCCCGAATATGCTGCACGGCAGGGTTGAGAATCGCCAGACTAAGCTCTTCTATCAAATCGTTGAGCTTGAAGAAGCAGCCCGTGACTTTCAATACGGTTGTATCGATCACATGTAGAGACCAGTCACCTGTTGGGCTTTGACATCCGCGCCAAGGCTCTTTACAGCCCCAATTCTCGGCATGCTGTCGGTCGGAGAAGAGAGAGATGAATGGCAAACCGGCTCGGCAACTCTACGTGAATTGATTCATTATAACTTGCTTGAAGTCAATCAATTCATTGGCGGCATAAACCTTCGTCGTATCCATAGCGCTGAACCCCTCAGTGCTGGAGAAGGTTATTCGACTTGTCGGATAGTCCACACGATAAAGCTTATCAGAAATTTTGAACTTAGAACAAACGTATGGATCCATAGCAATGTTTCTTATTATAGTGCTTTAAATGGACAGTGCTGGATTTTGACAATATTGTATTTCTTTGATCGAAAGGTTATCCGAGGGCCCTTATCATCTGGCAAAAGCCTGCATACAGATTGGGTTCGTGTCATTCGGTCATTGGGCTACAGCGAAATAGTTCTGTTACACGACATAATTGACACTCGTCATGAAGTGTGGCAGGTCGCGAGGTAATCATCAACCACTCTCTTCTCTGTTCGACAAGCTGCAGATTACAAACTCTGTCTCTGATTCCTATGTTAAATGTAAAAGGTGAAGGTAAAGGTGTTGGGTGGCTGGGCCCAGCCACTAAATATTTCACCTATATGTACTCGCGCTCCCACTGCGATAGTTAGCCAATCAATCTATTATCCAACACCCTAGATGGCCATAAATCTTGAAA